GTACGGATGTCGTGGTATTTGTCGACCGATTGAGCAAGATAGCTCATTTGGCGGGGGTGCCAGACACCATCGACGGGGTCGGTACAGCAACGCTGTTCGTAGATCGTGTTTTCCGACATCACGGACTCCCAGAGTCGATTGTCTCTGATAGAGACACCCGTTTCACGGGAAAATTTTGGTCGACTTTCTTTAAGGTGCTCGGCACCAAGTTAGATATGTCGACAGCGGATCATCCGCAGACCGATGGTCAAACCGAACGGGTGAATCGAGTAATCGATGACGTTCTTCGCAGATTCTGCGCTGAGATGCCGAGGTGCTGTAGCGCCATGTTGCCACTCGCAGAGTTTGCGCTGAACAATGCAGTGCATTCTTCTACCGGCTACACGCCGCTCTACGTGAACGGGCTGATTCACCCTCGCGTCCTGCTGACGCCGCCATCTCATGGCTCAGGGCTTGGTGGGGGAGGAATATCCGAACGGCTAGCTGATGCCAGCCCCCTCACCATCCGTAAAGAACTCGATGACTTTTTGTCTACCAGACTGAGTGTCTTACGACACGTTCACGATGCGATGGCTGAAAGCCAAGACCTGCAGAAACAATGTACCGATGAAAAAGGAAGAGGCAAAGTGGAAAGCCTTAAGGTCGGAGACCTGATTTAATTAAATTTAAAAACCTATCTACACATGTAGCCTCTGCTGTCTTCCGGACGAAGCTTCGTCCATGGTTTATCGAACCGTTTAAGGTTGTGGCCAACGGGGCCTGGCGTACATGCTGAACCTTCCGAAACGGATGCGCACCCACCCGGTGTTTTACGTAGGTTTGCTCAAGCCGTACCGGGATCCGGTACAAGTGAACGCGGAAGCGTTGGCGCCGGAGTGGATCCCTCGGGCCCGCGGCCACCTAGAAATTGAACCCGCAACTGGTTCTGAGCACGGAGAGCGACAACCTCCATTTCTAATGGCGCCAAGCGCTCCACCGTAGCATGTAGCGGCGCATTCGCCTGCTCCACGGCTAGGAGTCGCTCTGACAGAGCGCGGTAGTCCTCAACGCGAGGCAGCCGACTCACGACGTGCTTTAAATCGTCAAGAGCGTCCGCACAGCGATATGCTACTTCAGCATGATGCTCAGCGGAGCGCCGATCACGACGAACCTTGTCCTCAAGGGCTCGAAGAGTATCACGAGTCACCGGGGGCCGCCCGCCACCGACTCTTCTCGATGAGAACTGTGATGTCCAATATCACGTAGAACGTCTAGTACGACGATGTCGTCACCGGGGTCAGACCCAGTATCGGGTGAAGTGGCGGGGATATCCCGATTCTGAAAACACGTGGGAGTTTGAGGCGACACTTCGGCAAGATTGCCCAGTCGCCGCGGACGCTTTTTATTGGAACGATCAGGACGTCCCGCGTCATCAGACGCCCCGCGCTTCTCTGCAATAGCCAGGGAAGTTGAAGGGCCATGAGCTGTGCTCAAGCAGTGGCCCTGAGCTCTTGTGGCCGTGGACACAGAGATCGCGGGAGCATTAGGGGTTGTTTACCCATAAGTTGCAGGGCGACAATCCGAAGGAAGTCGACGGCGTGCCTTGAGTTTGGCAAACTCAAAGCGGAGG